CTCTTCAGCTCCTGGTGCTGTCTTCTTAGAGGAGCCCTCAGGCCCCTGTGACTCCCATCCCTGCTGGGCGTCTCCAGCTCAGATCTTTTTCTGTAACTCAGTGCTCTGAAAGTTTCATCTCGCTGGTTGGCTTTCCCCTACTTGTAAGCTCAGAGGTTAGCCTGTTCTTGTTTCATTGATAGTGGCATGAGATTCCTTGGTCAGTGACATCGCAGACAGCATGAGCAATGACTTGAGGTGCAGCCACTCTTGCCCTCAAAGTTCTATAGTTTTTTTTTTTTTTTTTTTTTTTTTTTTTTTTTTTTTTTTAAAGGGTTTTTTTTTTTTTTTTTTTTTTTAAAGTGGAAGTTAAATTTGTTACAATGCCCATCCCTAATGTCAACAGAGATATTTGTAGATTCGAGGGATCGTGTTGATGGCTCTGTCAAGAGGCCCTCAGCAGTACAGTGGCTGAGAGTACACGCTTGTTTCTAGGACAAGCGTGGTGGGTCCTCTGCTCTGCGGATCTCTGTTGGCTCTAACCGCGTTGGCTCTAACCGCCGATGACATCTACTTTAAGACGTAACCGCATTGGACGTGAGAGCACCGTTCCTGTAGCCACTGTTTATATATTAGTGTGTAACACTGCTGTGATTGCTCAAAGGACTTTTTATGTTATGGCTTTAAAGCAAAGGCATGATTATTAGAAACGACGCAAGCTCTTCTCTTTGAAAAACAAGCTCCTTTTACAGACTATACGCAAACAGTAGTGCCTGTGGTGGAGCCCACCAAGCTCGACGACGACTCAAAGTTAGCTGATGCATTCCTTGTGCAGATGATGCTTGAGATGGTTTTTGCAGATTCAGAGATCGCTGCCAGGTCATTCGAATGGATGCAAGTGGTGTTTTAACCCTTGGAAAGGAATGGATGTAACTGTACGCTGATACAGCTTTTCACTTTAGTTTTTAAACCTTAGTATAATCTCAATAAAAGTTAATATAAACTGTTGCCAAATTCAATGTAGAAAGAATGTGACAAACGCCTTGGGTAGCTCTGTTTGTGTTTTTTGCATATTGTAAAAGCAGTGTCACAGCTGAAAACGATCACTTCCTTAAAGGTCACTGCCTGTGGTTTAGTTGCTAGTTTGTATTGAGAGTTGACCTCTCCCTGTGCAGTTTTTGTTCTGAACTTGTATAAATAACAGTGTGTAAAGTGTCCCCCCTTCCACATTGTAACAATTGCTTCAGCCTACCTTATAAATAAAGAACCACTAAGAAAAAGTCTTTAAGTCTCATTCATAGGGTTCGAGGTCTTGTCCAATGACAGAGCATTGACTGAGTCTCCAGCTGAGCTCAGAAAACGTTCAGGAAATCATTTCTGTGGCAGTTGTGACATTTAGGGGCAAGAGCTGCCTAAACTAATTATTTGAAAACAGTTCCAATGAGTTAAACCAAAACCTAAAAGCAACTCGTTTGTATTGGCAGTGTAAGATGGCTTTCCTTTTTTTTTTTTTTTTTTTTTTTTAAAGGCAGAGTTTCCAGTATGCAGCCCTGGCTGAGCTGAAACCCTATAGACCAGGGCAGCCTTGAACTCCTCAGGGATCCACCTGCCTCTGTGTCCTGAGTGTACACTTTTTTTTAAAAAGGTTTTATTTATTATATATAACATTCTGCTTCCATGTATATCTGCACACCAGAAGAGGGCACCGATCTCATAATGGATGGTTGTGAGCCACCATGTGGTTGCTGGGAATTGAACTCAGGACCTCTGGAAGAGCAGTCAGTGCTCTTAACCTCTGAGCCATCTCTCCAGCCCCAAGCCTTCATCTTTAAACCTGAACTCAGCTGGGTTAGGGAGATGGATGGCTTAGTGGATAAAGCACTTGCAAGAGCCCATGGAGCTGGGGGCAGCCATGCATAAGAGACCTCAACTCAAAGATGGAAGGCAAGGAATCCCTGCACTGTTCCCTGCCCTGCACGCGTGTGCTGGGCCACACAGACAATATGTCAGCCTGGTCCTAACAATGTCGAATGAAGGGGAAAGGGACAAGATCTCGTGAGCTAATTGGGAGCACAGGGGAGGGGAGAGGGAGTTAGGAGAAAGAGAAGGGGAGAAGAGAAGGGAGGAGGAAGAAATGAGGGAGCAGGAAGATTGAGTCAGGGGAAGAATAGAGGAGAGCAAGAAAATAGAGGGAGCCATTATAGGTTTAATGAGAAATATGTCACTAAGGAATTATACTGCAATCCACAAGGATGACCCCAACTAAGAATCTAAGCAATAGTGGAGAGGCTACCTTAATTGCCCTTCCCCTATAATGAGATTGATGACTACCTTATATGCCATCCTAGAGCCTTGATCCAGTAGCTGATGGAAGCAGAAGCAGAGACCCACAGCTAAGCACTGAGCAGAACTCCTGAAATCCAGTTGTAGAGAGGGAGGAGTGATGAGCAAAAGGGTCAAGACCAGGGTGGGAAGACTCACAGAAACAGGTGACCTGAACAAGGGGGAGCTCATGGTTCCCAAACAGATAGCTGGGAAATCAGCATAGGACTGATCCAGACTTCCTGAACGTGGGTGTCAGTTAGGAGACCTGGTTACTCTATGGCCTCTGATAGTGGAAAAATACTTATACCTAGTGTATGAATGGACATTGGGAGCCCATTCCACACAGAGAGTTACTCTCTCAGCCTAGACACATGGGGGAGGGCCTAGACCCTGCCCCAAATGATGTGACAGACTTTGACGATCCCCCATGGAAGGCCTCACCCCTTCTATGGAGCAGAAAAGGGATGAGAAGGGGGTTGGTGGGGGGCATAGGAGGATGGGAGGGAGAGGAACTGGGATTGACATGTAAAATAAGATTGTTTCTAATTTAAGTAGAAAAGTAAAAAAAAAAAAAACCAAAAAAGGACTAATAGTTGTTTCTTTAAAAGTAGATTCAATAATCTACCCTTTTATCCTGTCATTTCTATGTCCCCATTTTTCTTTTCAGAACAAGATCCTTGAATCTAATGTCCTTTGTAATGGTCAGGAGACTCTGGGGGAGGCAGTGCCTCAGTTGAGGGTCCCTCTTTCTAGATAACTCCAGTTTGTGTTGAGTTGACAAAACTGAGCAGTACACCTTGCCTGGTGTGGTGACGATCATTTGTCACGAGGAAATGTGAGCAACAAAGGTAGAGCCCTGTCTCCCTACTGCTGGTTTGGCTTCTCTCTTTTGTTAGCACTCACCACAGCCTCTAAGCAAATAATTTAATAATTCTTAAAGTGTTTGTTTTTTTCTCACAAGTAAAATACACAGCAAATAAAATTAATTCCAAATTATCCAGAATGGTAAGGAAATTAAAGTATTAAGCCAATGTATGTGAAATTTAATTAACATTCAAATATTACTTCAATCTTAATGGAAATGTGTAAGAATCTACTACAAATCCCATAATTATTTGCAGAGATTTTTTTTTTTTTCGAGACAGGGTTTCTCTGTGGCTTTGGAGGCTGTCCTGGAACTAGCTCTTGTAGACCAGGCTGCTCTCGAATTCACAGATATCCACCTGCCTCTGGTGGGTGCTGGGATAAAAGGCTTGTGCCACCAATGCCCAGCTATTTGCAGAGAATATTAAGTTGAATGTATACTTTTCTTAGATTATCTGTTGGATTGAATTTCATTGTTATGGGGAAGGAGGGAAAGAGTGTAACTAATTCTTACTGAGTGGCTGTATTGCCCTCAGCTGTGCCTTACATTACACTATAATTGGACTCTCCCTGTGTCCCCAGATGCATTTATGTGTTTGGAGGAAGGTCCTGGCTGTTTTGCCTTTAGGTATATTTAGGTCGGGAACTTGTCCAGTCTGTGGAGTTGTGATTTCACACCCTCTGCAGTTTGATGCTGGAGACCATGCTTTATGTTTTTTTTTTTTTTGTCAGCAATGGAGCCTCTATGGCAAAACTCTGATGTAGCTAACAGCATCATCATTCTACAGATGTAGAGCCTAAGGCCAGCTTTCAAACCAAGCAGGGACTGGAGAGATGGCTCAGTGGTTAAGAGCACTGGCTGTTTTTCCAGAGTACCTGGGTTCAATTCTCAGCACCCACGTGGCAGCTCACAACTCCAAGATCTGACACCCTCACACAGACATACGAGCAAAACACCAATGCACATAAAATTAAAACAAATTTATAAAACCCAAAAAATAAAAGACAAAAAACCAAGCAGCATCCAGAGAGCTGGAGTCCAGTAGGCATGATGGACCAAAGCTAGTATTTTGCAAAGTCTGGTCCCATCCTGCAGTTTCTTACAACTTAAATAGTTTGAACAAGTGTGAAGATTCCTTCCCACCATACGAGGGTGGGTCTTTGGGTCTCATGACCACTGAAGGGATGTTACTATTGCAGTTTAAGTGTGTTTACAGAAGCAGATGCTGTGGGCAGCCATTGCGACATTCTTACTTTGGCAAATATGGCCAACTATTTCTACAGATAGCTTTGTAAGCATTTGCTTTTTCAAGATAAGAGGACGGGATTCAACTGAAGCAAGCAGGAGTACAGCAAGCAGAGTGAAGTAAAATTTAACCCAGCCTGTTTCTATTTCGTCCAGTAGCTAGCCCCCAGGCAGGACCCATGAGGCTCCCACAGGGCAAGGCTAGAGTTAGATTAGCTAGGTGCATATTAGCATGCTAAATATTTAATGTGTATTCTGTTTCCTTCTCCATTAGAGTTAAGCAACAGTTGAAATCGGCCATCAGGTGGCTGCCATTCCTTCTTCCTCCTGCTCTCTCCTCTAGAGCTCTGAGATTTTGAACTAGTCAGAGCTTGCATTTTGCTAGCCAGTGAAAACACTGGTCTGTCCTGGTTCATTTGTGTATCATTTACTTTTCCCAGAAAGTTTCTCAGAGAGTTGTGAGCCGATTCTTGAGGTCATTTGCTTTATTACCTGTGATCTGAAATAATTTAGATAATTATTTGATAATTTATACTATACTTGCCTTTCCAGAACTTATATTCTAAAACTTTTTTTTTTCCTGTAGAGAGATTGGAACAATTATCAGGTCACTGGGATGCTGTCCTACTGAAGGAGAGCTACATGATTTCATTGCAGAGGTAAGTAGGTGGCTGAGGAAGTGTCTCTCAGCTGAGTCTAGAACTCCTTGTAATAATAAAAAAAATCTTACACGAAGCTAAAAATTCCCTAAACTCCTGAGGGTGCTGTTTGAGAGTGTTAGAGCTGCCAATGTAAGCCAGCCAGTGGGACTGGAAAGCATTTTGATCAAGTCTTGAAGAAGCGACTATGAAGAAATGACAACTGTTGATACATAGTTTTTAAATTAGTTGAATTCAGGCCACATGGAGAAAGACCAACAACAGATATATTTAGTAATAATGTTGCTTCACAGAGAGAATGCAATTTTTATTTATTTAAGGAAATAAAACTAAGTTTCAGAACACTTATAATAGTAAATAGACTGAAGTAGAGAACATTAACCAGTCTAAAAATCTAAAAATTATTATTCATAATAATAACAAAATTTAACCATTATTAGTTAAAAGGTCTTGATTGGCTTTCCTCTGAGGTTATAGATTCCTTGAAATGGGTAAGCACTGTTGACCAGAGGAGACTGGTGTTCCTGCTTTCCTTGGTCCCTAGGGAGAGATCTGATTGGCTATTTTGGAGTTTTTTTCCTTATAAGGGAAGGGAGACAGAACAATAGGAGAATCATTGACAAGTTAACATCAAGTTACTGCAGGCAACTTTTTTTTTTTTTTTTTTTGCCAAAGATTAAGACAGAAGGACTTTATTATCATGCCCATTGAAACTGGCTTTCCTGGGGGAATTTCTGTTTGGCAGTGTTTTAACTTTATCATGGGTGACTCCATTTTGGCTTTAAGTCTATTCTTTGGGACCTAGTGTAGGAGCTGAATCCAAACCAAAAGTCATTTGTAATCATTGTTTGCAGTGTAAACTATAGCTGGGAGAAAGAAAACAGTGGTTGAACAGCCCATGCCCAGGGAGCTTCATACTCTCTTCTGCTTACAGAAAGATCTCTGATTGAACATTAAATGGGGAAAAAGCTGCCTGGGCCACAGAGTTGCTCTTCTTTGCCTGGGCAGTTTGTTTGGAGGATTGACAGAGGATGAGAGAGGAAAAAAAAGCTGTGGAATTTGATGTGTCTCCTTACTCTTCATACTGGTAGAGTCCTGGTCTGTTCTCTTATAGACGAGTTTTTCTTTGGGCCACCAGCTCACAAAAAATGACTCAGAGACTTATTATTAATTACGAAAGCTCAGCCTATAGCTTAGGCTTGTCCCACCAGCTCTTATAACAAATGAACCCATTTGTCATAATCTACGTTTCACCTGTGGGTTTTTACCTCTCTTCCATCTTGCACCTCCTCTTTCCTCTCTGTGTCCCCTGCCACTTCTCCTGTGCCTAGATTCACCTCCTCTTTCCTCTCTGTGTCCCTGGAAGTCCCATCTAATTCTTCCTGCCTAGCTATTGGTCATTCAGCTCTTATTAAACCAATCAAAAGGCGCCTTGACAAAGACACATCTTCACAGTAAACAAAAAGATTATTTCACAACATTCTATGCTATGTTATAAAGAAGGAATTCGAGATTTCAGGCTGATGTTGGAGAAACTTGAAGTAGTAAAATTGATGCTACAAAGGATTTACTAATAATTGTGATTAGGAAATATTAAGTTACACCAAGTAGAATTTAGCTAAAGGAGCGCTGTCTCCAATATGACTGGGAGGTAAGTAGTGTACTCAGCAGACTTGTTAGAAACTGTAGAAATGAAAAATTTGTTCCACAATTGAAGTTTAGAGATGCCAAGAAAGTTTCTGCCAATATTTATTTATCAACATTGACTTCCAGTTAGGCTCTATTCCCCTAGCAAAAGGAGAAAACTGACTGACAACCAGCTATCAGACATATCTCGTATCGTATCAAAGAGCATGCCTCTCAGGGGCTGTTCAAGGATCATAACCACCCTGCCATTAAGTCTCTGTGCTCTTATCCAGAAAAGCACAATTCTGCCAGGTGAACAAGATGGACCTGGGCAACAACTATTAAAGAACAACCCTGGTGTGCTTAAGAAATAGTAATAAATAATTCTGGCAATATCTTTGTTGTGTACATCTCTCAACTGTCCAAGTGGCCAGACTTGCCGTCTCCTATCTGTTTAAATTGTTCAAAGTGGGACTTGGAGCTGGGACCTGAAAGAGGTTTATATATGAGACGCACATGCCTATGGTGAGTATAAATTAGAAAATCTACTCAAGATCAGCTCCTCTTTGAGCATTAGCCAGAGCTGGATGTGTACCATATTAAAGAGCCCTTTCCTTTATTAATCTCTAAGTGTGTGCAGCGATTTCTCACTAGGAAGGCATATCAACTGTAGAACAGGGCAAGCCAGTTAATTTCTGTTGAGTGTCAATTTCTCCATAATAATGCCTACTTCAGAGTTTGCCTCAAAGATACTTTTAATAATGCATTACAAGCCAGAAACCCTGTAAAAAGTCAAGTAGTTTAAAATCAGCTGGATGACCATTGCTCAGATATCAGCACCTTGGCAGCTTAGTCGTCTTCACATTGCTGTAACCACAATAGCTGACAAAGACAACTTGAGGGTGCAAAGACTTGTTTTGGAGGATGGTTCTGGAGTAGTGGTTCTCAATCTTCCTAATGCTGCGACCCTGAAATCCACTTCTCATGGTGTGGTGACCCCTAACCATAGAATTTTATTTATTTTATTTTTTTGGAGACAGGGTTTCTCTGTGTAGCTTTGGAGCCTATCCTGGCACTCATTCTGGAGACCAGGCTGGCCTCGAACTCACATACATCCGCCTGCCTCTGCCTCCAGAGTGCTGGGATTAAAGGCGTGCGCCACCAACGCCCAGCCCATATAATTATTTTTGTTGCTACTCCATAACTAATTTTGCTACTATTATGAATCATAATGTGTTTTTGGAGATAGAGATTTTGCCAAAGGGGCCATGGCCCACAGGTTGGGAGCCACCGTTTTTGAGGGCTTCAGTTCCTTGTGGCTGGGAAGGCATGGTGGAGGCCCATGGTTCCTGGTGTACCAGGGACGCTGGAAGCAGGTGTGGGTGTGGTCCCCAAAGGCCCACCCCAGATACCTAGGCTTCTACTAGGCTTCACTCCCTGAAAGTTCCATGGCCTTCCCCAACAGTGCCACCAATTAGGGAACAAGTGTTGAAAACATGAGCCTGTGGGGGAATATTTCAGACACAAGTCATAGTAGCATCATTTTTTCATTACTATTTTGAAATATTTAGTATGATGTTCTAAGTTGTAAGAATACATTGTTTTTCTATTTTGGAATCTCAAAAGTTATTTTGAATGAAGATTAGGAAAAAGGCTTGTTTTTCCTGTGAACCCACCTTATCCCCTTGCCCCCGCCCCCCAAAGTAACTGGTGCTGGGAGAGGTGAAGAGCTATGAGGAAGGGAGGGATTGGGAGATGAATTTATGGTGAAATAAGAAGCAGTGTGTAACAGGCATAGTAGCACACACCTTTAATCCCAGCCCTTGAGAGACAGAGGCAGGCAGATCTCAGAGTTCAAGCTAGTCTAGTCTACAGAGTAAGTTCCAGGACAGCCAGGGCTACACAAAGAAAAAAGCAAAACCAAAACAAAGAAAAGAGAATCAGTGTGTGTTCAATAAATAGGAGTAAGAACTGAAGATCAGGGAGGGAGAATGGTTTAGGTGTGTTTTAATATATATTAGGAATCTGAAAAAAAAAATCCTGCCTAGATCATCCAAACACCACAATCCCCATTTGTTAGGGATCGACCAGTCGTCAATAGGGTATAGGTTTTCTTTATTCAGATACACCAGCACCAGCCAGAGCGTGCTCAGAGGCAGCAAGGCAGGGAGGCCAGAGAGAAGGGGGTCCCCACGTCTCTCCAGCCCTTTAAGAACCTCCTTTCATGTCACCTCAGACTTCCCCTCACCCCGCCCTCATGGGCGTGTCCCGGCACACCTGTCCAGGTTACCTGGGGTGGGGCTAGGGTGTCTCCCTACAATTCCCTTTTCAGTGTGAAAGAGGATTAAAACTTAATAGTGTAAAACATCAAAAATTAACAATCAGAAAGGTGAAATATAAGAAGATACAATTATCTGCTATTGCACATACTATGTCTATTTCAGCTAAGCCCTAAAGTCATGTGGAGAGGGTGTCTAACTTGAACACTTCCTTCCAATCCCAACTCTAAACAATAAGGTCATTCTTAACTAGGCTTACAATAACCTAATAAACAATAATGGGGAGCGGGGGCTAGCATCTTCTAAGTTACTTCCTGCTGAAATGGGACGATGGTAGCCATGTGGGGTCCTGTGGGGAAAAAAAATGCCAGAACAGGGAAAGTCTCTAATGAGTTATCTCTAGTCCATGTTAGATGAGATTTGCTTGATTGAAGATCTAGGTTGAAATCCTCAACTTGATTGAAGTCAATACTCCAGGTTCTGGTTGGAGTGTCAGTCGAAATGGAGTGAGTTGAATCCAGCGCAGCCGGGGAGGTGTGGTCCAATTCTTTTTCCGGAGCATGCAGGGATTGTTGTCAGGCTGGTTCTCATTGTGTGTATGGGACACGAACATAAGTGTCATCAGAGCAATGTTTGCTTGTACATGTATGTGTACTGGGAAAGGCAATCCTTGAAAAACAACAATTATGAGAGGGTATAGGCCTTGAAAGAAAGAGCCAAGAAAAGACAAAGATAGTCCTCTAATTCATTATTTATGCTGTATTACAGCAATTGGCTTCTTGATATAACACAGAAACTTTAAAATTTTGTTAAATAACATGCTTGGATTTTAGGGTAGGAAAGCCAAATCCAACTCTAAATCCAGCATCGATTTAATTGAATAGGGACTAGGAAATGAAGAGAAATAGAGTTATTTGAGAGACAGCTGTAAATTTTATCGTATGGCATGTTCCTTTTGTTCAATGGTTATAGCTACGTTCTTTCCTTAAGTATCTACACATGTAGTGTCCTTTGACTTCCGGAGGAGGGTTTTCCTGTGAGGATGTAGCTGCTTGCTTTCCTTTCCTTTTTTGGAGATAGTCTCATTATGTAGCC